ACGGAAATGTCAAATACCTGGGAAATCAGGAGATTAGGGCAATTCAAATGAGTATATAAAGATTTATTGCAAGCTTAAGCTCTCTACGAGAATCTGGCCAACTGACCATTAAGAAAAATGCAGGGAAGACAAGGCAGTCATCCAGGCGGGTTGGACTTGGATCTCTTGCGAGTGTGAAGGGACTTGTGACTTATGACACGTTTGGCCCTTGCCTTGGATTCAGCCTGGTCACCTCCCACAGGAAATTATGAACCCAACTGTGGTCATAAGTAGAGGATTATTTATATAGCAATAGCACTTAAGACTTATTCTTCACAGTGCTTTGTAGCCCTCTCTAAGCAATTTACCCAACAATCTGGGTTCTCCTTTTACTCACCTCGGAAGGATGGAAGGCTGGGTCAACCTTGAGCCTGGTGAGATTCGAACTGTCGAATTACAGGCAGCCAGCAGACGTAGCCTGCAGTGCTGCACTCTAACCACTGCGCCACCATGGTTTTATATTCTTGAACGTGGAGCTTTTTGTAATTTGGGCAGTACGGCCCCTCAAAAGCTCCCATTCTTTGGGCAACATGACGTGTGAATAGATCGCTAGGCAGAGGCCTACAGGACTCAGCACCGCTCAAGGGAAAGGCATGTTTTGTTTCTCGGAAATTTCCAACCGAATGGCCAGCATCGGCTTCCCCACTTTATAAATATGCTGGGACTGCAGTTCGTTCAGTTCCCAGCCAGAATGGCTCCTTGCTCATTAGATTGCAGAGAAACACAGCCACAAGGTAAGTCCATCAAAAGTGTGATTGAAAAGCTGGTGGTTTCAACATGCAACACCTTTGCTAGAAACTGACGTGTCAGCAGGTGCTGGCGTGAAGGGGGAAGGGACAGGAATAATTTAAGGCCCAGTAGGCACACTATCGAATGCCTTACATACGAGGGCCACCGTGGGCTTTTGTGACATGGTGAAGCCTAAGAGAAACCATGGAGGACAGGGGCTTACATCAAACTCAGTCTTTCAGAGTTAGTATGAATTACTTTTTTTTTTTTGCACCTACCAAAACATAAAATAGCTTTGGCTTTCCTTTACTTTGCTTGGTGAAAAATCGCCCACCAGCAATTGTCCAAACAATATGGGTCTCCCCCATACTCAATATTATTTTAGAAATAGATGTCTGTCTGTCTCTCTCTACACACACACACCCATATTTTTAGGTGCATAAGTAATACTTTCCCACCCACCCAAAAGTGGAAGGAAATGTCTATGTGTCTTATACAGCGAATGCTGCCAAAGCCCCACCCACCCGACGGCCCCCACCCTTTGACCTCTGCCTCCCAGCAATTTGCCTCCTTGCAGCAAACAGCCTGGTCAAGTTCAGCACAGCCTGATTTAGCACAAGCAGCTAACTGTCGGTTGGATCTGCCTCCCCATGATCAGCTATTTCAGGCTGCAGGGATCGCCATAGCCTATTGCCATCCCGTTATCAGCCTCTGCGCCCCCCCCCCCCCCGTTTTCAGCCTCCACGTACTCCATTTTCGGCCTGTTCCAATCCCTGCCACCTAAAGGGGCCGAAAATGGGGTACGCGGAGGTGCCAATAGGCGATGATCCCTGCAGCCTGAAACAGCTGATCGTCGGGAGGCTGATCCAATTGATAATCAGCTGCTTCCTAGAATCAAGCTGTACTGAAGCTGACCAGGCTGTTTGCAGTTTATTGCAAGGAGGCAAATCAATCTATCTATCTATCTATCTATCTATCTATCTATCTATCTATCTATC